TTACGACCATATCACGATGAAATACCGGTTCTCGTATGATCCCTGAAGTTAAGCAACGTCTAACCTGGTCAGTATTTAGATGGGTGACATCTTGGGAATACCAGGTGAGGTAAGCTTTGACGTGCCGGTGAGTATTTAGATGGGTGACCTCTTGGGAATACCAGGTGCTGTAAGCTTTGACGTGCGGGTGAGTATTTAGATGGGTGACCTCTTGGGAATACCAGGTGCGATAAGCTTTGACGTGCGGGTGACTATTTAGATAGGTGACCTCTTTGGAATACCAGGTGCTGTAAGCTTTGACATGCTGGTGAGTATTTAGATGGGTGACCTCTTGGGAATACCAGGTGCTCTAAGCTTTGACGTGCGGGTGAGTATTTAGATGGGTGACCTCTTGGGAATACCAGGTGCTGTAAGCTTTGACGTGCGGGTGAGTATTTAGATGGGTGACCTCTTGGGAATACCAGGTGCTGTAAGCTTTGACGTGCGGGTGAGTATTTAGATGGGTGACCTCTTGGGAATACCAGGTGCGATAAGCTTTGACGTGCGGGTGAGTATTTGATAGGTGACCTCTTGGGAATACCAGGTGCTGTAAGCTTTGACATGCTGGTGAGTATTTAGATGGGTGACCTCTTGGGAATACCAGGTGCTGTAAGCTTTGACGTGCGGGTGAGTATTTAGATGGGTGACCTCTTGGGAATACCAGGTGCTGCAAGCTTTGACGTGCGGGTGAGTATTTAGATGGGTGACCTCTTGGGAATACCAGGTGCTGTAAGCTTTGACGTGCGGGTGAGATGTTAGATGGGTGACCTCTTGAGAATACCAGGTGCTGTAAGCTTTGACGTACGGGTGAGTATTTAGATGGGTGACCTCTTGGGAATACCAGGTGCTGTAAGCTTTGACGTGCGGGTGAGTATTTAGATGGGTGACCTCTGGGGGAATACCAGGTGCTGTAAGCTTTGACGTACGGGTGAGTATTTAGATGGGTGACCTCTTGGGAATACCAGGTGCTGTAAGCTTTGACGTACGGGTGAGTATTTAGATGGGTGACCTCTTGGGAATACCAGGTGCTGTAAGCTTTGACGTGCGGGTGAGTATTTAGATGGGTGACCTCTTGGGAATACCAGGTGCTGTAAGCTTTGACGTGCGGGTGAGTATTTAGATGGGTGACCTCTTGGGAATACCAGGTGCTGTAAGCTTTGACGTACGGGTGAGTATTTAGATGGGTGACCTCTTGGGAATACCAGGTGCTGTAAGCTTTGACGTACGGGTGAGTATTTAGATGGGTGACCTCTTGGGAATACCAGGTGCTGTAAGCTTTGACGTGCGGGTGAGTATTTAGATGGGTGACCTCTTGGGAATACCAGGTGCTGTAAGCTTTGACGTACGGGTGAGTATTTAGATGGGTGACCTCTTGGGAATACCAGGTGCTGTAAGTTTTGACGTACGGGTGAGTATTTAGATGGGTGACCTCTTGGGAATACCAGGTGCTGTAAGCTTTGACGTGCGGGTGAGTATTTAGATGGGTGACCTCTTGGGAATACCAGGTGCTGTAAGCTTTGACGTGCGGGTGAGTATTTAGATGGGTGACCTCTTGGGAATACCAGGTGCTGTAAGCTTTGACGTACGGGTGAGTATTTAGATGGGTGACCTCTTGGGAATACCAGGTGCTGTAAGCTTTGACGTACGGGTGAGTATTTAGATGGGTGACCTCTTGGGAATACCAGGTGCTGTAAGCTTTGACGTGCGGGTGAGTATTTAGATGGGTGACCTCTTGGGAATAACAGGTGAGGGAAGCATTGACGAGCCGGTGAGTATTTAAATGGGTGACCTCTTGGGAATACCAGGTGCTCTAAGCTTTGACGTGCGGGTGAGTATTTAGATGGGTGACCTCTTGGGAATACCAGGTGCTGTAAGCTTTGACGTACGGGTGAGTATTTAGATGGGTGACCTCTTGGGAATACCAGGTGCTGTAGCTTTGACGTGCGGGTGAGTATTTAGATGGGTGACCTCTTGGGAATAACAGGTGAGGGAAGCTTTGACGTACGGGTGAGTATTTAAATGGGTGACCTCTTGGGAATACCAGGTGCTGTAAGCTTTGACGTACGGGTGAGTATTTAGATGGGTGACCTCTTGGGAATACCAGGTGCCGTAAGCTTTGACGTACGGGTGAGTATTTAGATGGGTGACCTCTTGGGAATACCAGGTGCTGTAAGCTTTGACGTGCTGGTGAGTATTTAGATGGGTGACCTCTTGGGAATACCAGGTGCTGTAAGCTTTGACGTGCGGGTGAGTATTTAGATGGGTGACCTCTTGGGAATACACGGTGCTGTATGCTTTGACGTGCCGGTGAGTATTTAGATGGGTGACCTCTTGGGAATACCAGGTGCTGTAAGCTTTGACGTGCGGGTGAGTATTTAGATGGGTGACCTCTTGGGAATACCAGGTGAGGGAAGCATTGACGTGTGGGTGTGTATTTAGATGGGTGACCTCTTGGGGATACCAGGTGCTGTAAGCTTTGACGTGCGGGTGAGTACATATATGTGGGTGACTGCTTGTGATTGCCAGGTGCTGTAAGCTCGAACATGTGGGTAAGTACTTAGATGGATGACCGCTAGGGAATACCATGTGATGTAAGCTCGGACACATGGGTAGTGTATTGGATTTCGGAAGGTAACACATATTTTGATTACAGGATTAGGTTATAAATTTTACAATAGTTAGTATACAGAAAGGAAAATGTTACACAACGTTGCAGTATGATGCAGTGGGAAAACAGTCAACATGTGGTGAAAGGAGTTTCACAGAACGAATTATAACAGCAAAAATAAATGTATACAAAATGGCTACCTTAAATAGATGTTCAAATAATAAGATATTAAAACAGATCGATGCTTACAGAATTTTTTTAAGAAGTTACATACCGGCGATGCTATAATTTAAGAGTAGAATTAGGAGGATAAGAAAGTAGTAACCTCATACTTTGATCTTGCTTATTGTATCGGCTTCGGTTATGCCTAAACAAGAAGTGGACAAAATGTAATTAATATACAGAAATTAAAATATAGGGGAACAAAGAGAAAATATTAAAAAAAATAGCGTTGGTAACGGAACAATTATTGTATCACTGCTTTTCATGTGTGTTTCTCTTCATAGTCAGAAAAATTCTTTCTTCTTGTGTGCGGTGTCCTTTCAGCCCATGGGCGATCATGGCTCTCCACTTCTCCCTATCCCTTGTGGCTCTCAATGTTTCGTGCCTCCGCCAACTCTCCAGACCATATTCTGTCATCCACTCGCTTAAGCCCGCCAGGTATGTCATGCGTTGCTTTTCCTTGTCTCTTTTTCCCTCTATTCGACCTGTGAGTATCAGATTCTCCAGGCCGTCCTTTCTCATTACGTGTCCCAGAAATTTCATCTGCCTCTTCCTTATGTTAAGTATAAGCTTCCTTCTTGTTTGCATCCTCTCCAAGACCTCATCGTTGCTCACACGTTCGCTCCATGATATCCTTAGCATCCTTCTGTAGAACCACATCTCAGTTGCCTCGAGTCTCATCTTCATTTTGAGGAGACTGTCCAGCATTCGCTGCCGTATAAGAAGGACAGATGTCACGTAGTAGCTCAGTACTCTTTTCTTTGTCACCAAAGAAATCCTCCTGTCTCGAAGTACTCTACCCAGCTTTTGAAATGCATCCCTGGCCATCCCAATCGGTCTTCGGATTTCAGCGTCGCACCTACTGTCCTCAGTCAGAAAAATACAAATTTGACACTTACCTTTGTAAATGGTGCGTTCGTTGTGTGCAGGTATTCGAATATTGGCGGGCGATTTACTTTCGTCAGAGTGTTTTTGCTATGTTTTTTTTTTTTCAAACTAAATACTGAAATCTTATAAAATGAAATCTTTAAAAAATGAATCGGGAGTTTACCATTTATCTTATTTTATTTTTGCTCATAGTTTTTACTGATATTCGTAAACGGTGACTTATTTTTCCGTGCCCGTCAACATGAAAAAAAAACAAACAAAAAAACAAAAAAAAAAAAACATGTGAGACTGTAACATTTTGTTTTATTAATGTTTTCTGTACTTGCTTTCACCGAATGTTTTTTTTTATAGAATAAGTAGGCAAAATGTGAGATGTGAACAAAATTGATGGGTTCGTTTGACATTTGAGATTTGAAGAGTCGTTAGAATAAGACTTGGTTTTATTCTTGTTAAAAAAAGCACTAATTTATTCTGACGTTTCACAATTACATAATCTACGCAATGTACATTATGTCATAAAACTACACAGAAGTTCTGATACGTTATTAGTTCTGAGATATTTTCCTATCCGTTAAATGGTTTGCTTGATGGCAGAGATTGTTGTGTGCCACCGACGCTGGGGGTTGAGGATCAAGACAGGTAAAAGCATAATCCTCTTCACTTAAAAGATTCACATAACGCAATCTTATTGCATCTTCTACTTGCCCACCCCTATCTCCTAGCGTGTGCGTAGCGGTTATTAGCGCTGAACGCGGGATTAGCGTGCCGAGTTCAAATTCAGGGTGACGTCGTTGCGTTCGCTTTAACACAAATATCCTATGACTCAATCCCCTTTTCTTTATTTTTTTGGTTAGGACTTAATAGCCGGAAAGGTCTGACTCTTAAGCCTTGGATGGCAACCAGTGCAGTAGAAAGAAAAAAATACTCTCACGAGGTAGTTTATTGCAGTTAAAGCGAAAAAAATTTTATTATACTCTGTACAACGCCCAAGGGCCACTCGACGTAGAAGGTTACAGAGAAAGAGGCACCTTCCCAAGCAAAGTAATAATGCCAAAAAGACGCAAGGGGCCACCGGAAGTGAAAGTGAAGGAAGAGACTTTAGAGGGAACCGGAAACCCAATCCTAAACAGGAAATAAGTAATAAACCTCTATTCAAAAGACGGAGAGAAGTGCGAACCACTATTTCCGTCTATACCAGTATGACAGCTCTCATATATAACAGGTGCCTATTTGTTACTGCTCGTAACAAATGTAAGCGAGTCCTAGAAAATGCTAAGTCCCTGTTTGCTGTGAAAATGAGGCAACGTATAGCCTCTAAAACTTTGGCTCTCGTGACAACTCTCAGCACAGGGCCTTTTCTTAGACAAGCAGTACTCCATATCAACTGCTGATGTACTGACGATAATTGCAGAAAGAGCCTATCGTGCTCTAGATAAAAAAAGGTGAAACCCGGGCTGTAGCATTGGACATCTTGTCAGCCTCTGACAGGGTCTGGCATTCAGGTCTTCTCCACAAGCTGAAAAAACTATTGTATCTCCGGGCACGGTTTTGAGCTGATCCAGTCGTTCCTATCATATCGTGAAATGAAAGTTGTCCTGAACGGCCACTCGTCTCCATCTTTTCGTACTAACGCAGGTGCGCCCCAAGGCCCCCTCCTTGGTCCTATACTGTTTTTAATTTTCATTAACGCTCTTCCAGATTACATCAGATCTCTACTTGGCATTCATCTACGCCGACGGCCCTAACATTTACTCCTGTCTCGTTACTGAGACTGATCAGTCTAGCAGCTGATGTACAAAACAACCTCAAGACCGTCGTTTACTGGGGCAAAAGATGGCTTGTCTATTTTAACGCCCCGAAAACTAAACTTCTCTTCATTAACCATCTGAGAGAACCTTCTTTGTCTTCCATCATGAAAGTGACTCATTGCACCTTCTTTGGTTAACGTTCTCAGCTGACATGAGATGGAACGACTATATCGAAGCCATTGCTAGGTCAGCTGCTAAGAAAGCCGGTTCACTGTGTCAGGTGAGATAATTTTTCTCTCCTGAATCTAGCTTGCATATCTAAAAGTCTACCATTCGTCCATGCTTAGAATATTGCAACCATATACGGCCCGGTGCCCTTGCTATTTTCCTGGAGCTCCTTGATATGATCCAAAGAAGAATCAGCAATATTATTGATCCCGATCTCGCAGCTCGGCTTCGGTTACTTGACCGCCACCGTAATGTTGCCTCTCTGTACCTTTTTTTTTATAAATATTTCATGGTAATTTTTCGGATGAGCTCTTCGCTCTGGTACATAGGAAGTTAAGCGCAATACAAGACTGGTGGCGAGATATCATCAATTTAAAGTTGAGCTAGCCAGATATAGCCGTAACTTCTATGCTAGCAGTTTCTTATCTCGCACTTCTCGCTTGTGAAACTTTCTTCTGGCTCCATGCTTTCTAACTTTTTAACTAAATTTTTAATCTGTAATAATTTAAATGCAATGTCAATCGCTATCTACTGTCTTCCTAACTACTATTTTCTCTTTCTCCTCATTACTATTGTTTCTGTTCCTTATTCCTCTAAACTCTGTAACCTCTTGCCTGCTAGTGGCTGCACTGCCCTGGTGTGATACCGATTTAAAAAAAAAAGAAACGCAACCTTTTCGCGAAGCCAAAAACATTTTATTTTATTTTTATACACTCATCTCCATCCAGTTTCATCCAGTTTCTATTTTTTACCACTGATCTTTTCTCTGCTTGCCATATATTTTTTTAAATGTTTTATTGTTAATTCTCGGAGAAATCTTTCCTTCTTCATTTTCATTCCTTCTCTTTCCTTTTCTCTTTTCTTTCTCCTTTTTTTCTTGATACTCATCTATATTTCTTTTTCTTTAACTCCCTCCTAAATCTACTTACTATAACAAATTTATTTTGCTCTCAATCATCAAATTCTTCTCTTTCTTTCTTTCTTTCATTCTTTCTTTCTTTCTTTTTCTTTCTTTCTTTCTTTCTTTCTTTGTCTAATCTAATCATTTCCCTTTACTGTTTCCCTTTACTTTTTCCCTTTCTTTCTTCTTTCCATGCGACTTAGTTTTTCTCCATTTCTTTCTTTCTTTCTTTCTTTCTTTCTTTCTTTCTTTCTTTCTTTATCACTTAACATTTCTTTCCTCTTTTTTCTTTACTTCTTTCATTCCTTATTCTTGATTTAACATCACCCCCTTTTCAAATTAATTTCCACGTTTGTTAGTTTCTTTTTTTCTTTCTTTTCATTATTTCTTCAATTTAATTTTTAACCATGTTCTTCTTTCTTTCTTTCTTTCTTTCTTTCTTTCTTTCTTTCTTTATGCAACCTGTTAATATTTCCATCTTTTCGGCTTTCTTTCATTCTTCCTTTTCTCTGCTTTTACCTACATCTAATGATTTCCACCACTTTTTTTTATTCACGTTTTCGAAAACTTTCTTTATTCTTCAGCTATATTTCACTAATTTTCTCCTTTTCCCTTCCCAGTACATCGCACCATCTTCAGCTTGATTGCAAGATGACGATTCCAATAGTACTTGAAATATTTCAGCTCGTCACTACTGTTGAACCAATCACAAACACGGAGATGAGCATTTCATTTGCAGACGCTTTTCAAGTGAGACGAGATTTGATATTTTATGTTGAGGATTCATCTTTTTCTTTTATTTCTTTCTATATTCTCTCTAATTGTTGAATACACCGACAAAATAAACAACAATGAGAGTAGCAGAAGCAACAACAACAATAATGATTATAATAAAAAGAAACAACAACAACAACGGTAATAAAAGAGATTAACTAAATGAATATTCGGAGTGATTTTTTTTAAGCATATCACCTCAAGCAAGCACAATAAAGCCGCTAAGACACAAAATAAGAAAAAGACATTTTTTGCGAGAACAATAAAAAGGAATTAAGAAGAGAGTGGATAACGATTGACATTTAAATTTTTGAAGATCAAAGTTGGCTGGAAAGCAAGAAGCCGGAAGAACGTTCCACGGGTGAGAAGTGGGATAGAAGTGACTATTAGCAACGAACTTACGGTTGCATCCAGCCAATTCAACTATTGTCATGGGTCCTTACCTATAACTATAGAATGAACTCTTCCTAACACTATGTATACTACGCCTCTCAAGAGAGAGGATCGAATCGAGTCGAGTCGATAGTAGTTCACTCCAAACCAGACTGACTTCCACATCTTGTATTATTATTTCGTGTAATATACCTTCGTTATTTCTACTCTTGTGTTCGTGTTGTTCTTCCTTGGTCTTAACCTGGACCATAACAACTATAAAATAGACATTGCCGCTAATCTAGTACTGAGCTTAAATTCATAAAGTCTAGGTAACACAAAGCAATATTTCGGTCACCTTCAAACCTTTTAAACTCGTTTAGTACTTTTTCCTCTTTTCCTTATTTCTTTCATCCCAACGCTTTATAGATTACAGTTCAAAAGATTCAGAGGATTGAGAATTTAGGCCCCATGATCGTATTGTTGATGCGAGAACAAACATCATTGTAAGTTATATACATTATTTACATGCTGGCTATTATCCTTATCTTTGATGGTAAAAACCACATCGTTTCGACCTATCATTGTCCATCCGGGTAACCTTTAGAAAATTTCAAACTGAAATGCAGATTTCGAATCAGTAGAAACAGAGGGAGCAATAACTGAGCACTACTAAATAAGAATTAGACGAGATTTCCCGAGACATGGTCAGTGGAACGAGAACAATGTACTCCCCTAGACTGAATAAAGAGCTCAAAATTCCCTGAAGGTTACCCGTATTAACAAAGTCCTGATGAAGACCGGAGCGTAAAGTGGGAGAGGTTTTGCGGTAATAGCAGCAAAGATGAAAACAACAGTTCGAATGTAAATTATGTAAATAATGGTAACTTCTCATCCTAGAAATTCAGAGAGAATTTATTGAAAGTTAACCATCTATTCTTGTCAAGGAATCAGATTTTTTGCTGGCTATATGATTATTATCATTATCTGATATTTTCTACTTAAGCCAGTTCCAGAATTTAATTTTTTTCCTTGGGTAAATCTTCTTCTTCGCATTATTATTATTATTATTATTATTATTATTTCATTCGATTTCTGCTATGGACACACTACCAAGTTGCGGAAAGACCTAAGGCAGGTCGTGGTGTGTTGTTATGGCCACATTTCATGTTAATTTTTTTTTTTTTTTTTTTTTTTTATCTCCGATGAAGTTGCTAGCGTTACATAGACAAAGTTCTCCTTAGTGTGTGTGCTGTACTTAATAAGACAATTTTCTGTATGTCTCTTAAGCTGGGGTTTCCAGGGATTCTTTCAATGTGTTGTTTTGTTCCATTTTTATAATTCCAAGTGCACCTATTACCACTGGTATTATTCTTGTTTTCAATTTCCACATTTTTCTATTTCAATTTCCAGGTCTTTGTATTTTGATAGTTTTTCAAATTCCTTGGTTGCTATGTTACAATCCGCTGGACAAGCCATATCAATTAGTAAGTTTTTTTTCTTTTCTGGTTTTTGACAATAATGTCCGGCCTATTTGCTTCAATTTTCTGTCTGTGTGGATGGTATAATCCATAGAATGGTGACATCTTCTATTTCTGTAACCGGCGCTGGCCGATGTTCATACCAGTGTTTGCTTACACATTTTCCAAAGTGTTTGCACATTGTCCAGTGTAATTATTGCCCCACTCTATTATTATTATTATTATTATTATTATTATTATTTCCTTTGATTTCTGGCGTTTACACATTTCTTTCCGGGTCCCGCCCAGGGACCTAAGCTTAGAGAGATGGCATCATGACACATTTTCACTGAAAAAAAAAAAAAAAAAAAATTACATAGACAAAGCCCTTCGTAAGGTGTGGGCTATACTCGTGAGAACTATTTTTCGTGTGTCTTTGAGGCATGGATTTTCAGGAATTTCTTCGATTAGTCTACTGGAATCTTTTCCAACCAGTCCTAGGGCTCCAACTACAACTGGGATCGTTGATGTTTCCATGTGCCACATTTTTGAGATTTCTATTTCAAGGTCCTAGTATTTTGACAGCTTTTTGAATATCTTCAAAGATATATTGCAGTCAGCAAGGACTGCCATATCAATAAGGAGGCACTTTTTTTGAGTGTGGTCTTTATTATTATTATCATTATTATTATTATTATTATTAGTAGTAGTAGTAGTAGTAGTAGTAGGAGGAGGAGGAGGAGGAGTATTGGAAATCTTCCCTGGCTCGGCCGGGTAATGATGGTCATATCCGATCCTACTCACAGCTTAGAGACACTACCCTTTCCTTAGCTTTCCATAGCACAAACAGCGCTGCCACCTGTGCACTCTCGATGATATCACGTATCCCCAATGTGTCTTACGATACAGAACGATAACTCTAGATAGTCCCGAGGACAACTTTACCTGCTGTTTAGAATATTTCTCCGATTTTCACTACAAGTTCTTGGTATCTGTGTATCACTACTATTATTATTGAGGGAGACGTTAGCACAAGGAAAAGCAGCGTCAGAGTAGAAATATACGAAACCCAATATAACTTATCATGATACCTCGTTTGGTAAACGTATACCAGACATGTGCATCACAGCCAAACATGTGCGAGGTGGTGACAGGTTTTGATAAAAGCAGTGCATAACCTTCTAGGTGGGGTTCATTTAGGTCGGATAACCTAGTTCCCGCAGATGGATTTACATTGAAGGTGTATATTTATCTAGATGTGAATGGATGACTCACCTTGCAGACTTAAAAGCTAGCAACCTTTTTGATATCTGGCCATCATACGCCTTGACTATCTCCGCTCACAGAGAAGCACAGTGCGTTAAGGGACATGCCCAACTCGATAAGTTCAGATAAGTGACAGGCAAATCTGTGGAACTGAACTGAATATTTATTTATTTAATTCACCAAGACAACATTTATTATTATTATTAATAATAATAGTAGTAGTAGTATTTCCTTTGATTTCTGTTTTATACACATTTCCATCGGGTCCCAACCAGAGACCTAAGGTCAGAAATGGCTTCATGGCATTTTCCACTGATTATTTTTGTTCAATTTAAAGCTCTTTGTAATATGTGAACTGTACTTGTGAATTATTTTTTTTTGTATTTCTTTAAGGCGTGGGCTATCAGGAATCCCATCGATTAATCTATCGGAACCTTTCCAAATTAATCTGAGGGCTCCAACTACAATTGGACTTATTGATTTCTTCATGTGCCATAATTTTAGATTTCCATTTCAAGATCCTTGTATTTTGATAGTTTTTTTGAAAATCTTCAAAGATACATGACAACCTACCCGGGCAGCATAAGAAAGGGCATTCTGTTCTTGTGGTCTTTGATCCCTAAATCTGGGCGATTAGCTTTAATTGTTCTGTCTGTGGGCATTGTAAAGTCCCATAAAATTGTTACAGGTACTATTTCTGTAACCGGATCTTGGTGATGTTCATATAAGTTACTTGCAGTTTCCTTCCTGTAAAAGCTGCATATTTTCCAGTGCAGATATTCGCCCACTCTATCATGCCGAGTTTTATATTCATTACATTCATTATTATTATTATTAATATTATCATCATCATCATTTGTGTAAATTATATTTCCTGCTTTGTATCCTGTAGATCCGGGTCCAAACTATAGTCTTTAGGCCCTATAGGAGAATTATCATTTAATTGATAGCACTTTTCTTAGAATATGGGATTTTCCTAGTAGGATGATCTTCTCAGCAACTTGTATGTTGATGTTACCTGGGACGCTGTTAGTAAAATTGTTCATTCCTTTACTCGCGAAGTCCAGAGCTCCGATTACTATTAGTACAGTCTCGGTCTTCATTCCCCACATCCTGTTAATCTTGATCTCCAGGTCCTTGTATTTGGACAATTTCTTGATAATTTTCCTAAAGATGGTACTGCTGTGCCAATAAGCTTGCACCTTCCTGTCCTTTATGATAATATCAGGTCTGTTGGTTTTTATTTCTCTGTTCGTTTGAATTGACATGTCCCAGAGTATAGTTACATCGTTATTTTGGGTAAGTGTGTCTGTTTTGTGCTTATACGATCTCTCATTGGTCTCGATTTTGTGCTTCTTGCATATCTTCCAGTGCACATATGTCGCTACCTTGTTATGTTTATTATTATTATTATTATTATTATTATTATTATTATTATTATTTCTTTGATTTCTGGTGTGTACACATTTCTTTCCGGGTCTTGCCCAGAGACCTAAGGTTAGAAATGGCATCATGACATTTTCCACTGACCAATTAAAAAAAATGAAAAAAAAACAAAAACGAACAGGGTTTAAGAAAGATAGCAAAAAGACAAACGCTACTAAGAGCTACAAATGATAGTAAATTATAAAAGTCCTGATTGCCTACATCTTGAAGAGACATGGCGCAGAGAATAAGAAGAATATAATTCTGTTGATAATAAAAACGCAACAGAACGACTCTCATTTACACACCCTATCTACAAATGTGTTCTGATATTAAACACGCCCCCCTCATAAATAACAAATTTTAAACAATACTATATATATATATATATATATATATATATATATATATATATATATATATATATATATATCTTGCAAGTTTTTTCATATATTTGGGTCTAAGTTGTTGAAAAAAGGCCCTAGTCCCTAGTGTTTTGTCGAGCGCTTTCGGTTGTCGCCAACCTTCATCATGGCTTTTGGTTTGAAGTAAGTTGTTCCTTATCTTATTTTATAGATAATATTTTGGTTATTTAGGCAGTGTTGTTAGATTAGTTCATTAGCAATTCGGAGGGGGTGGTATTTATTATTTGGAGGATTACTTACTAAATATGCTTAATATGTTTCTGCCAGTATTAAATGCTATTTTATTTATGTTGGGTTTTTGTTTTTTTTTTTAATTATGTTGGCTTCAAGAATTTGTAAGCGTTTTTTTGCATTTGTTTTTGTAAAGGATTTTGGTACTGTTGATTAGGGTTTTTCTTATTTCAGAGGATTTGAATCTCTTACTAGTGGTACAGTGTATTGCTATAAGGTGATTTTTTTATGGCGCTTTTTAAGCCGACGTGATAGAGTTGTGGTTGTGTATCCGATGTATGTGCTAGGGTTATTATGTGGGAAACACTCTCAAAACGGGCATGTAAATCTGTACTATGCATTGGGTTTATTGAGGTAAGGTTTGCAGGGGGAATAGTATTATTTCGGACAATTAGGTTTGAAGCTTTCAATTTGGTGTAATATATTATTAATTTTATTTGTTTATCTATCTATCTATCTATCTATCTATCTATCTATCTATCTATCTATCTATATATATATATATATATATATATATATATAGGTATTTACTCTGTACCCCCACTAAGAAGAGTTGTGAAGCGAGGCCTTTTTTAAGGTGGGGCTAGGAACAAAATTGCCCGTTGCCCCCTGCAACCGTTGATTGCGTTAGCCTCGGTGCGAGCACAGATCCCTCTGTGCTCTAGTGCAATGAGAGGCATGACCTCGGGCAGCTGTTCCCCCAGGGATGGTCACCTCTCAATATAATTTTCCTCAGTTGCAACTTTGTCCCTTGACAGAGTCGCCCTGAGTGCACTCTGCCCAAAGTCAGAGACGCAATAATGAGATGATAAATAGATGCGTTACAAACCACTCAAAAGAGAGTTTTACACTGATATATATATATATATATATATATATATATATATATATATATATATATATATATATATATATATATCAAGAACAGGTTTTCGTGTGACGTGTTTCGTCCCTTAGGACTTCATCGGATTAGTTTCGTTTACGTTGATGGGAATTACACATGCACGCAAACGAGAGACGCTGGTAATTTTAGATTTAGATTATTTTTAAAAATATGTTTTGTTTCCGTATACTAACCAATTCCATTTAAATTCTTTTTCTTTTTGTTTCCATTTGTCTTTGTTATTAAATATCCCATATTGCGATAACAGAAGATCTATCAAGAATAGTGAAACGTTTTAAGAACTTGGACGCAAATATTAGGTTGGTGCCAAAATAATGACGTAATAATGTCGTTTTTTGACGTATTTTTTAACGTCAAAAAACGACATTCTTACGTCATTATTTTTGCACCAACCTAATATAATGTGGATTAACTAGCGCTTAAAACACTTTCTAAACATTTTCGTCTTAGTGAATTATTTTCTCTTTAATTGGAGTACCATTTTTATGCTAAAAATTGTGGTTAGTCTCGTTACAGTGAGAAAATAATGCGTTCAATGTGTCGTTTTTAAAAATATATTTTATGCCGTCGTATAATTCTGAATATTCTTTATGGAATAGAAAGGAATATTTAAGGGATGGTGAAAAAATATCTGTTTCGACGTAAGAATACATAATTCCAGAAATAATGAAATGCAGTGTGAAAGATGCTGATATACACAGAGAAATATGAAAAAAGATTCGTAAACAAGAAGAAATATGCTCTAAATCTAGCCATCCTTCTTTCTGTACGTATATCTGTCTGTATCTACCTCAGTACATTCAAATCTATCTATCTATCTATCTATCTATCTATCTATCTATCTATCTATCTATCTATCTATCTATCTATCTATCTCAGTCTATTCAAATCTCTCTCTATCTATCTATATATATATCAGTCTATTTAGATCAATCTGTCTCAGTCGATTCAGATCTATCTCTGTCTATTCACATTTATCTATCTCAGTCTATTCAAATCTATCAATCTATGTTTTTTTATTCAATATCGCATTGTCTTCTCCATCTAACTTTATAGTCAAATATCATTGTCAAATATGGACGAACGTCAAAGTCACAGCTTAATTTACACAAAATGACATCTGCTAAGGACAGAAGATTTTTAACACAGCAAAATGCGGAGCATAAATCGAGAAATTGATAAAACAAATCAAAATGGAAAATACTGACAATCAAAATGAAGAAAAAACATCTTTAAGCAATCAAGCAATAAATAAGCAGAAATCTTATGCAGATAGTCTCGTGGCAATATAGATATTTATATAGATATTTATATAGATATTTTTATATACAAATTGAAAAGTGCTGTTGCTTCTTTTTAAGGAATTAGATTATTTGTATTCCTCTATTTTTTGTAGCGTTTGACAAATATTTGCATTTGTTGGTTTATAGACAAAATAAAGAAAATCTTTTAAACTATTCTCACTTCTGAAATACATTATTTTCTCTCTTGGATTTTCTTGTCTGCTCTTTTTATTGTTTTTTTTTAATGTTCGTCGACTCTGCTGGAGTTATATGTTTGAATTAAGGCTCCAAGAAAATTTAAAACGTGCTCGCTTATGTTGTTTATTATAAAATTTCAACCGGCACTTTCTGTTCATTTACAAGTGGTAATTAAGTGTTTACTTAGAGTTTTCGACCAAGATTTTATAGAAAAAAACTTGTTTAAATCAAATTGCCACAAGAAATTGAATGTTTATTTCTTTTAACTCAAAATACACATACACTACCTTTCATCCTTCTTATAAGAAAATATGATTTTCAAGCAAGAAAAATGAAAGAGAAAGATAAAAGACTTATATTGTAACATTAATGTACAAATACAATACTTCTACTTAATGTCTTAGCCTCAGTTACTTTTCAAATTAATTTTCCACCTATCTTTGTTTCTTCTAACCTTTCCTCTCTTCGTTTGTTTCTCTCTTTGTTTCTTTCTTTTTTTTCGTTCGTTTCTTCTTTCTTTCTTTCTTTCTTTCTTTTACGTTCGTTCTTTTTCTTTCTTTCGTCCATCCATTCTTTCTTTTTTCTTTCTTTTGTTCGTTCGTTCTTTTTTTCGTTCGTTCGTTTTCTTTCTTTCGTTCATCTATGCTTTCTTTCTTTCTTTCTTTCTTTCTTTCTTTCTTTCTTTCTTTCTTTCTTTGTTTCTTTCTTTCTTTCGTTCCTTCTCTCTTTCCTTATTTCGGTTTTTCCTTCTATCTTTCGTTCATTTTTTCTTTCTTTCTTGCCATAACAAAATTCTGCCAAATCAATATTTATTTTTTTAACTAGAAATAAGTACCACTACCTTTCATCTGAACTCTAAGAAAAAGATTTTTATGATATTGAAATTCATATGAATCCCCAGTATTGTTTCTGGCAACCAGAAAATGGGTGGGAATGTATAAGGACTAAGATGAATGTCTCTGTGTGTGTATGTGCATGTGCGTGTGTGTGTGTGTGTGTGTGTGTGTGTGTGTGTGTGTGTGTGTGTGTGTGTGTGGAATGAGAAGCAAAACTCGAAGAATGCAAGATTTTCTTTCATGCTTACTGATTTATATAAAAAATTTTTTTTTTTAAATATTGTTATAGTACTTTACTAAATAAAATACTACTAAATCAAAAACTTTCTCCAGAGAGATGTGGTAATAGTAGCGATGATAAGGTAGTTCCCATTTAACCCTTACATACAGGAGAATGGTCACCAAGTAGGAGTAGAAAACTGCCACGGTCTATATGCTTTATGTCAAGTGTTTATTGTCAAAGAAGATCTGCGACACATAGAAAATCAGGACAAAACTCAAAAGCAGTTCTACTCTACGGAAAAATCTTAAGTAAAGCCTAAAACGGAGGAAAACATAACGAAGAACTGTGTATACCTCAGTCTTTGCAGTTATAGCAACTACAAAAAATGGTGAAACTAACTGACCCTAAAAGTAAAATTAAAGGTGAGGCAATGAAACCAAGTACAGCTAATCATATATGGTGGGAAAAGTGTAGTTATCAACACTTGTGGAATGAGTTAAACATGGAGGAAGACTGGAAAGACATACGCCTAAACGAATCAGCACCAAGCTATGGGAAACTCCTTAGTAGGCCAAGCATAGAAATAAATACAATAATAAGGGAGCCGTTAATAAATAAAGAGAAATGACAGTAAAACTTCAACACCAGCAGCTGTAGTAAAAAGAGACGCCTTTGTGGGTTCATCAAGCACTATATCAGCAGGTTGATTAAGTTTTTAGGCAGTAACTTCTTTTATTAGGTTATTGTCACACAGAACAGTAACCTAATGGATTAAAGCGTTGGTTTGTGAATTTGGTGACATAGTAATTGTGTGTTCCTGGTCTGGTATTATGTACTTGGACTCAGTGGAGACGGGGCGAGCTATAACTGAGCAGTAATAATTAAGGACTAAACAAGATATCCTTGGACAGCGGATCAAGAACAGTCTACTCCCGAAGATTAAATAAAGTATTCAGTTCGAAATTCCATGAAGGTTACCCGAGTCGACAAACACCTGATATAGGCCAGAGGGTAGGACGACCGAAATGTGATAGCAACAACAAAGATGAGGACAATATTCTGCAAGTAAATAACGTAAGTAATCTTCACAGATATAATGCAGTTTAACTCTACAATTATTATGGCGACATTATGAAATCCATCAACAAAAAAAAGTCCGTTCTCATATATTAACTCATCATCGACTGTCCGTTGTATTCGGCGAAAACAAGAGGAGAGATTCATTCATGTCCGCCAGTTTGAAACTGGCCAAATTCGATTTTCGCTACTCCAGTATGAAGCATTCGGTGCCACGGAGGGTGGGCCTCAGTCAGCTGTTCCCTGTGGTTTACGTCGACCCACATCGCTTTCATGTCCCTCTTGATGCAGTCATTGTAGCGGTGTCTTTGGCAGCCTCGCCGTCACTCTCCACACTTTGGTTCATCATACAGAGCGATTTTTGGTAATCGAGAGTCATCCAAACAATATACATTCCCAGTCCATCATAGTCTTTCTACAGGTCATCTATACTTCATATATTTGCTCTCTCAACGACTTTCATGTTAGAGACATTGTTTTTTTCACCAGATTTTCATGGTGTAGCGCAAATGGTGGCACTGCAAACTTGTCAAGCGTTTGATAAACACTGCGTTATAGTAGTAAAGATTTGAGAACGTACATCAATGTTGAGATGCTAACCGTTCGATAGCCCTTACACTTTGTGACGAACTTGATACCTCTCTGGTCCCACAGTCGACCTCTCAAAGTACAACAATCGGTACCGGTTGCCTGGATTCGTCGTTTGATTTTGTTGCTAAGGGTGGCCTCTGGATTGATCGCGCTTCCGAGGTAAAAGAAACTGCGATATATATACATACATAAATACATAGACACACACACACACACACACACACACACACACACACACACACACACATATATATATATATATATATATATATATATATATATATATAATTGGGAGTATCGACCTATGGGTAAGACAAAATCTTTCTTCCCCGTTGAATAACTAATGTGAATCCGCTTATCAAGATCGGGAGATCGGATAATTTAAACAAAAGAGGAAAGCTTTTCAAGTCATGGGCTTAGCTATATTCCAAAGAGAGATTGGCTGAAAAAAAGGTGGTAAAAACGAGATGAATATAAAGACCTTCTTCAAGGCTTGAAATATAATGGAGCAACTGTCATTTATGCGCCGGCGCACGCATACACGCACACACAGAGACACACACACACACACACACACACACACACACACACACACACACACACACACATATATATATATATATATATATATATATATATATATATATATATATATATATATATATCTTTAGCATAACTTTACATACATTTGCCCAGAAGAGGGAAAATGCCAACAGGAAATCTACGACTGTGGGACATTTCTTCCAACGTTCGACCTCGATTGGCTACGACACGCAAAAGATATAAAGAATGGCGCCGTGATACGCACACTGTATTCCACCACATAAGTGTAAGATTAAAAGGTACTTTACTTGCCTCTTTTGCGAGTGAGATGGTCTTTAACAATTTGGAAAAAAGCCCTAAATCTTCGTTCACGATCTCAAGCTATCGCATATCATCATCATCATTATTATCATCATCATAATGAATAAACAACAATAATAATAAATAATAATAATAATAATTTGGGTTGCTCCTTCACTAGTTAGCGCGTACGATACGCCCTACTAATACCTCATGAATCACTCTTCTGTTTTGATTGCGAGGAAAGATGGAAAAGATATATCAGACAACGCGTTTGATTTTTTTTAGGTCAATGTCACCCCAAGCAAAGCAGTACAGGCACTAACACATAAGGGAATACAGGGTGTAGAGGAATTAGGAACAGAAACATTAGTAATAAGTAGAAAGAGAGAAAGAGAAAAGTGCATTTAGGAGTACAATAGAAAGCAATTGGCATTGCATTTAAAATCTTGCAGATTAAAGTTAGACGGAAAGTATGGAGTCAATAGGAAGTTCCACAAACGAGAGGTGAGAGAAAAAAAACTGTTAACGTAGAAGCTACAGCTACACCCAGCTAGGTGGAACGTAAATTGGTGAAATCTCGCCGCTATTCTCATATTGCGCTTAAATTCATACAGTCTAGGAACCGTAGCAAAGAGCTAATCTGAACAATTACCATGAAAGTAAAGACGGCACAGAAAGGCAATATTGCGTCGACGGGCAAGGGACTGAAGCATAGCCGCCAGATCAGGATCAATAATATTGCTGATTCTTCTTTGGATCATATCAAGGAGATTTAGGTAAATCGCAGGGGTACCGGATCATATATGGCAGTAATATTCAAAGCATAGACGAATGGTAGATTCAGGAGAGAAAAATTGTATCGCCTGACACAGTGAACTGACTTTCGTAGCAGCTGACCTCACAATGGATTCGATAGAGTCTTTCCATTTCATGTCATCTGAGAACGTTATCCAGTGAAGGTGCAATGAATCACTTTCCTGGAGGATAGCATCAGCCATGCTGACGGAAGGCAGAGTGGGGTCTCTCAGATGGTTAATTGAGAGAAGTTTATTTTTGGAGGCGTTAAAATTGACACGCGATCTTAACGACAGGTTTAAGTTCATTTAGTACCTCACCATTTTGGTCTTATCGGACTGATCAGTCTTACTGTCGAGGCAGGAATAAATAGTAGGGTCATCAGCGTAGATACCAAGTAGAGATCTGATGTCATCGGAAATAGCGTTAATGAAGATTAAAAACAGCGTATGACTAAGGATGGAGCCATGGCGGGAACCCGCGTTAGTACAGGAAGATGTAGACGAATGGCCATATAGGATAACTTTCATTTCACGATTTGATAGGAACGACTGGATCAGCTCAAAAATGTACCCGAAGATAACGTAGCTTTTCAGCTAGTGGAGAAGATCTGAATGCCAGACTCTGTCAGAGGCTTTTGAGATGTCCAATTCTACAGCCTGGACTTGTCCAAATACAAGGACCTAGAGATCGAGGTTAATAAGATGTGAGGAATGAAGATTGAAACTGTACCAATAGTAATCGGAGCACTGGGCCTCGTGAGAAAAGGAATGGACAATTTTACTACCAGCGTCCCAGGCATCATCAGCATACGAGTTACCCAGAAGTTCACTCCACGAGGAACATCCTGTATACTAAGAAAAGTGCTATCAATTAAATGATAATTCTCTTATAGAACCTAAGGACCATAGTTTAGACCCGGCTCTACAGGATACAAAACAGTAAACATAACATGCGAAAACAACAACAACAACAACAACAACAACAACAACAACAACAACAACAACAACAACTTTTAATAATAATAATAATAATAATAATAATACGATTGGTAAAGCAACAGAGATTAGAAGATTAAACTCTTAAAACTTAGAATTCCAAGAACCAAACAAAACGACTCAATGACAGTCTAAAACAGGAAAACGTCAATCATGTTTTCTGCTCGGAAGCATTTTCACCGATTCTCGTTAGAATTTCAGAAAATCAGATTTTTTCCCTTTTGTCTGCGACCAACATTATCCATCAAAATTAATAGCACTTGATTAAAATAGTTCACAGTTTTATCTTTGTCGTTCTCATGTTCTTAACTGTCCTCCTCTTCTTCATTTTTCCTTCATCTCTTTACTACCTCGTCTTCTATATATTATTTTACCCTTCCTCTCGTCCTCCATGTTCATCTTCCTTCCCATCCTTCTACTATTTTTCTTTACACTCGTCCATTTCTTCTTTCTTTTCATTTTCTTCCGCCCTTCTTCTTTTTCTCCTCCTCCTCCTCCTCCTTCTCACCCTCCACATATCTCTCTTTTCAACTTCACATTCTTCTGGTTCTTTTTAACCTCACCCACTCTTTATTTTTCTTCTTCTTTCTCTTGCTCCCCCCATATCTTCACCTTCCCAACTTCATCTTCTTTTCTCCTCCTTTTCTTTCTTTCTTTTCGCCTCCTTCGTCTTTTTAACACTCCCTTTCTTTCTCGTTCTTCATCACTGAGTTTTTAATTTTTCATCTTTTCTGCATAAATTATCTCTTTCCGATACCTCTTCCCTCTTTTTACCATAACCATTTGTCTCCATCGTCGCCACACTTGATTCCCCCACCTTATGATACACACCCCAATTTATTTATTTTCGAAATCATCCTTATGACCACTTAATTAATTTTTTTTCACTCATTGTGTTCGAAGCCCGAAGCAACTCAGCAGAAACTGAAGCATTTCGTTGGCCTTTCAAGCGATAAACGCTTCCATTTTATTGTTGCTATTATTGTTGACCATATTCCTTTATCGATTCTTTCTTTTAGGTCAGGGAAGATTTTGTTTAGGTTTGTTAATTTAACAATATATCAACTTGTTGGGTTATTTAATGTCGAATGTAAGTATTATAGGACCCACATCACTATGAATGTAACATGTTCGTTAACACGTGAGACAGTCCAGTGTGTGAGTCACGAATTGGGGATGTCAGAATCTAGCAGATACTGAATTTTAACTATCATGATAGTTTAGTAACAGATGGCGGAAAATGTAACACAGAAATCCGAAGGCACTGAAACAGCAAAAAAAGTCATCTAGAAACTAAGCAAGGCATTAAGAGATGGGAAAATTTCGTTAAAAACAAAGTAAAGAATGTCGAAGTGCTACTTAATATGCAACAAAGTGATTTTCCAAGCGTAGCTTAGATGCAGCACAAGGCCGAAAGTATGAGGCACCCAGTGAGGATCGAACTCATTACTCATTCGCAATTGTTCTAGCGAGAAAGCTTGCTAACCTTTACACCACCTCGGAGTGCCCTTAATGATTTTCCAAGCGTAGGTCAGATGTGGCACAAAGCCGAAAGTATGAGGCACCCAGTGAGGATCGAACTCACTACTCATTCGTAATTGTTCTAGCTAGAGAAGCTTGTTAACTATTACACCGCCTCGGGGTGCCCACGTAACATGCAATATATATGGCAATGGATGCTGGGCAATTTTCTTACAGATGAAGCAAAGACTCGAAACGACAGAGATCTTGTTCTGTAGACAGATGCTGAGAATACCATGAACGGAACATGCGAGCATTGAGGAAGATTCAAGGAAAATGGAAATTAAACGACATTTATACTTACAATCAAAAGGAGACAATTGAAATCTCTGGGATGCATAATGAGAAAGGCGGGCTTAGAGAATTTAAAGCTCACGAAACATATTAAAGGCAGGAAGGGTAGATAGACACAGAGAGTAATCAACCAAATGTGCTTGTCTTAATAGATGACAGAGCGAGGACAAAGAGGTAGGGTAAAAAGTAAAAAGTTGCTTAGAGCTTCAAAATAAGCCGGCAAAACTTGTCTAAATTATTCAATGAAGCTTACCTCAATATGTTTATTCAAAAATATATAAGTAAAAATTCACATTCCTCTCTGATAGATTAGAGGAAAAATTTGAGACGATCGGATGTCTAGCCACAATGATGAGCTGTGATACAACGAAACACTCTGTCTATGGATGACAATATATACTTACCCGAAAAAATAAAATTCGGTCGAGCACTTTAGAAGGAAAGCGTGAATTTGTAAACAGTAACTGCTTCTGCTGATAATGCAAAGCTCTTGTATGACTCGAGCACTCTGAGTCATTGGCGTGTTTATTAAAAAATAAATAGGTAAAAATTCACCTTCCGCTCTGCCAGGAGCTGATAGCTTAGGGGAAAAATCTTCGACTGATGGCAAATCAGTCGGGTTTCAATCCTGGCTTGAGGCAATCGGATGCCTAGCCACAATGATGAGCTGCTGTAATGAAGCGAAACAGTCTGTCTGTGGATGACAATATATATATATATATATATATATGTTTACATTTGATACGCCATGAGCAGATATGAATGTACGTGAGAGATACATAGAAGATTGAAGTTTAAATACAGTAAATTCGACCTTGCTAACCGAACGCTTCTTCGTGGCCAAATCGGTAAAGTTACGTTAAGCTAAATGACGGTTCCGTATAGGATAAAGGTTCGAATCCTGTCGGAGGACAAATATTTTCTGTGAAAATCTCTCGGACATTCAGGCCGGTAATTGTTGTTTAATACTGTTTATTATAAACAGAGCATCTACTTAAATATTTGTATCTATAAAAAGAATGTATAAATATAAAAATGTCTATATATATATTTAAGATTGAGTGTATGTGTACATATAAAAAGGTATATATGTAGATATACATTCAATTCATACATCGAAAGAGAAAAGGAAACGCATAAAGATAAAATAAAAATAACAGTAAAACACCTACATAATAGCCACCACAGATTTTATCAGTATGAAGCTACAATTTTGGACGTTTCATTTGGGGTGTAATGGACAGCAAACTAGATTTAAAGATCATTAATAGTGATTTCTATTTTCGCGGAGTGCCTCATGCTTCTGTCTTTGTTCCAGAGCTAAGTTACAGTTAATATATAACAATTACAAATACGATGTATGGGTAAAAGCCAAGGCAATCCATAACCCAGCCCTGAAAACTGTGCGACCGGGGTCTACGACTGGGGGCGGACACGTGGAGATCTAAATTACTACTAAATAACAATAACTGAGAACATTGTTTGGATCCAGCGGTTCTGTTCTCACCCTTTGTATTTTGTTAATGCGCATGATTAACCTGGTAATTATAAAAATCTATGATGCTCAACTACATCTCAATTTTCATAAGATAGTATTCATATAAAATACAAATTTTATTGTTTTAATTATGTACAATAATATCTAGTTATATACAATAATGAATCATGTGCGATATAACTAGAAAAAGTGAAAATAAATACAATGTACCTAAATAAAAATTATAGACATGTCATAATAGATCATTCTATCTTTAAAAAATAAACGTTTTGCGACAATTGTTAGCATCAAGTTGAGGCTTGTTAAAAGTTAAATAATTTTAACACATTCAACAATATGCATGAAAATTAGTGAAATTTATATATTCTTTTTTTCAATACTCTCCTGATGACCCCAGCTAAATATAAATTCGAGAGGAACACATCAAAAGAAATTCAGTGAAGTCATATGCCGTAGAGAAGCTCGGTGGAAGTGTCATTTTCATGAGGAGCATTACACATTCAGCTCGCTTCAAGTGAGTTTCAATTAGTTTCCAGTAATTTCCTTCTTCATGAGCAAAAAAAAAAAAAAAAAAAATAAAAAATAGAAAGCCCCTGAATGACGTCAAAATCAGCAAAAAAATCTTCAGCCTTCAATTTTGCTTATTTTAATTTGTAGCGTATATAAATGTAGGTAGAAAAAAACAAATGTTGATAAGATATCAATGGGCAAAATGTACTGCTTCGGGACCCATAATCAGGTTTGTCCCCCGGTCGGGGAGTTTGAGGTCAGTACGCTCCTGACTTGCATATTTCACATCTAAGCTATACTGAGTTAATCATTATATCTTTAACCTTGTCCTCACAAAATCTAGCGTCATTCTTTCAAATATCTTCATCCGATTTTATAAACGTATTCTGTTTTCGATCATATAAAAATCATGAGTTAAGCTTTCTTTTCTTTTTAGTTTTAATTTTTCAAGTTTTCATCATCATCATCATCATCATCATAATCATCATCAGTACCTCGACTGATTCAATCGTAGGGGTCACCTGAGGGCAGAAAAAAAACCCCCAGAAAACTTCCACCAGGATGATCTTTTGGCGGTGGCCCTCTGAGGTTCCCCTATTGTCATGTTCATCTACTTTTTGATGTCTGGCCAGCTCTTATGTTGCTGTCCCCGTCTGCGTCGACCTTCAATAGTGCCTTGCATGATGGTCTTGCAGAGGCTGTCATGCCGTGTATCGCTGCAAAGCCATGCCATCTTCCGACGCTTAAATAGCAGCGAGGTTTGTTTTCTGTTGACCCACGAGACATTCGACTTTGCTCGTTGGTTTTGTGCCCCTAGTAGGAGATGCGGAGGAGCTTTCACTGGCATTTGTTCTCGAATAACTTTATTTTTCTTTGTCTCAGCTAGGAGTGTCCAAATCTCACACCCGTAGAGGGGGCAGGGTGTTGAGACAACCAGCGATTTGTAGAACTTGGTTAAAGTTTTACGATCTTTAATACCAACACCTCCACCTTCTTTAATCTGAAAATTCTTCCGTTTCTTTTTTATTTAATTAGGTCTTTGATGCTTTCATTTTATTTACACCTGATCTTGACCGGTACGCTTCCATCTGTTTAGTATCTAAATTTCATTTCTTAACTTTTGTTCTCTTTTCCACGTGTTTCATTATTCGAAATCGTAAAATCATACCCTCTCTCTTCAAATCTCCCTCGCTCCCTTTCTTTCCCTTTCTTCCACTCTCTCCCTCTCTTTCTTTTCTCCTCTCTTTCTTTTCTCCTCTCTCTCCCACCACTTCACCCTCTCTCGCTCTCTCCCTCTTCCTCTCTTTCTTCGTCCATCTCTCTCACTCTCTATCTTTCCCTTTCTTCCACTCTTTCCATCTCTTTCTTTTCTCCTCTCTCCCCCACCACTTCACCCTCTCTCGCTCCCTCTCTCTTCCTCTCTTTCTTCGTCCATCTCTCTCCCTCTCTCTCTCTTTCCCTTTCTTCCACTCTTTCCGTCTCTTTCTTTTCTCCTCTCTTTCTTTTCTCCTCTCTCTCACATCACTTCACCCTCTCTCGCTCCCTCTCTCTTCCTCTCTCTTCCTCTCTTTCTTCGTCACTCTCTTTCTTCGTCCCTCTTTCTCTCCCCTACCACCTCTCCCTCTCTCTGTCTCTAATAATTTCCCTGAAGTAAGGCGATAAAAACCACACAAGAGGTTACTGAGAATGAAAGACCCCAGAATAAAAGAAATTGAGAAAACGTTACTGAAGAGAAATGACAATAAAACGAACAGAATTCAAGGAGACAGATGACGATGATTGACACAGCATTTCGTCCTTTAAGATTTCTCTGTGCCCAATCTCATTCTTAGCTCTCAAAATTCATGCCCACATCCTTTGCTCGTTCTTCCCAATCAACATTTCCTCATATCCACATTTAATTAGTATTAGTTTACTCTGCGCATGCCCGGGCACAAAGAAGCTGTGAGAAGCCATGCGACATCGAGTCACCCCGTTGAAGCTTCGACGCCTCGCTGTCTGGAAACCGAAATCTCAGGACTTCCACTTTCCACAAACATTTTCTTTTCAACACGGTACACATAGGCACTGTGCAACTGAAATCAAGTTCGCATCAATAAAGTGACTTCTTGGAGCGCGGAAGGTTACAGTACATCTGACTTGCAGTTATGAGGTCAGCCGGATTTCGTCGTAGGAGACGATAGATCATTTGTCAAAGGGTTAGAGATACGCGCTTCATACAAGACTGGTATTCGTGCTTCTTCACTTGTTAAACAAGAACTGCATTACTAAACTTCTTTTCTGTTTTTTTTTAAACTTTCACATGATCAGCTTCATGGCTGAACTATTAAGAAAGCGTATATGTGGAGCGAAAAACACCAAGGCAGTCAAACACCAAATAAAAAAAAGGTTTCTGAGTTGGAGGATTGCGCATTCTTCCGGTTATTAAATTAATGATCTAAAAATAAATTTTTAACATTTTTCAACCAACAAGTTGCATTCTCGCCAACAATTAAAACAAAAAAAATGATTCGTGATGGCTTTGAAGGGTATTTAAGCAAACTTTCTAGAGAGACAAATCAGTTAGGTGAGACAGACGGCAACAGACGGTAACCATTCACGACGCTCGGCTTAAAAGATATCCCATTACTCATTCACCATCTTCCTCACGAAGCTACGTGACACTTACACTTTCCTCCGTACATTCTCACTTGCCCCTTGTTTCTCACACGAATAAATCGCGTTTCTTTTCATCTTAAAATAAACAAGACGTAAGAACTTTAACATTCATACACGCTAAAAGAATTTAGTTGTAAAAAACACGAAAATAAAAATATCTTATATTTTTTATATTTAAACACCTTTTTTACCTTTTCTTTTGCTGCGAGTTGATTCAAATCCACAACATGTATAATTTGCACGAAAGGGGGAAGAGAATCCGAATGTGTTTGTTAAAGAGTACGAGAAAAAACAACAAAAACATTTCAAGTAAATGGATGTATGAGTTGATTGATTCGTTTAGAGAAGGAAAGGAAGAAAGAGGAGAAAAAAACTAACGAAAGTTATTATTGATTGCAACAATGTAATAACAAGAATTAAAATTGTTCAGTTGTTTGTTTTTTGTTTAGCGGCATATTAACTTCTATGGGTTATTTAATGCCGAAATGTAAATATTTTTCACGCAATTTTTTATTTTTTTATAATAATGATTTTAGTGATACACGTCTTACTAATTAACCCATAGTTGGGGGAGAATATGTGGATTCATACCCTTCCCAATGGTATTTGCGCGTAAGTGAATACTTAAGAAACAAACGATTATCATGACCACCTGCACACCTAAGCTTACAGCACGTGGTATTCACCCATCTAAGTACTGACAAAGCTCAACGTTGCTTAACTTCGGTGATTGTACGGGAACCGGTGTTTCAAAGTAATGCGGCCGGAAGCCTTGCAGAAAGAGTGTCAGTGAAATAGAGAATTAAGAATGAGGAGCATCGAATGTAATTTTCTTTATTCTTCTTTTCTGGATATAATGAATGTCCAATGGTTGGCTGATTCCGAACGCTGTCAGGGATTTTCACGTATTTTTTCTTTTGTTTTGTTTTGTTATAGTACTATGATTTTAATATTGATATTTAGGCGAGGAAAGGTTGCAAATCATTTTCCTGGATGTGAGCGTTAATTGTTTTAGCATACGACACAGAAATGTTTGTCTGCTTTATCAAAGCTTTGAACTGTGTTTGAAACAACCCCGCTGATTGGTTAATAAATGCTAAATTTAATATTCGTGTGATCCTACTTTGCACAGAATTGAGATTTCAGAGATACTATTAAGATCTATTGATTTTTTCTAAATTTTTTAACTGAGTTCTATATATATATATATATATATAGAGAGAGAGAGAGAGAGAGAGAAAGAGAGAGGAGAGGAGAGGGAGAGAGAGATGGAATACATAAACCTGAACAAAATACGAAACAGACACTGACAGATAGATAGATAGATAGATAGATAGATAGATAGATAGCATATACAACTATTTGCTATAGTCCATTCTTAATGGTTTGTATCTTTGAAATATGATATATTTGTCTTTAATTAAACTTTGGACATGCAACTTCATTGTCCTTTCACAATGCTTGACAATCTCACAGGCATCGGAACACGGAAAATGTCAAAGTCCAATAACACCGAGATCACCTCTGAACATTCTATACGAATATTTCTTATTGGATTTGCCAATTTCAGAAGGAAAATATAATTCAATCTCTGAACCTACTTTCCTTCTTAGGACAGATGAGCAGCCTTGCCTTGTACAAAACTTATGTACAATAGGAAGAAGCGAGGACATATTGAACATTATTATTATTATTCTCATTATTATTATTATTATTGGTATTCCTGTTAATATATTTGACTAAAAGCAGTAGCAAAAATATATTGCATATCTAAATGCCGGGTCTAAGGATGGGGGATAATTTTAGCAAGGTGATGTTTTATATTTTTGCCTGTATATATAAGTAAAAAGAGAGAAATCACAAATGCATGCAAGTTATGAATTATGTGGTGATACACGTGTAAGTGTGTGAAAAAAAAGTTCAGTTATTAAAGGGAAATGTATCTCCATGTGGTGTTGTCACTAAAGCATGCTAGGAGGAAACGAGAGATAAGAAGATGAAGACAGGAAGTGTCTCGTTTTTATAGATGCTTAACAGCGTTCGCTAACGATATCTTGGTGAAACTGGCAAAGCTTTGTGGGAATAACACACAGCAAAAACAGAAAAAAATGTTTATTTAAATGTGTTTTCAAAAGTGAGAAAAAGTTCAAATTTTATACAACCTTTTAATTCTTTTAAAATTAAACAAATTGAAAATCGGGTAAAGAAATCGATAAAAAATTAATGCGTATTATTTAAAAGAATGGTAAGCTACAAATAAAGGTAAAAATAGACAACAATGAATAAACCGCAACGAATTAATAACCAAAATGAGTTTTGATCGTAAGAGAAAAGTGAATATTGGAAGCCCAGCGTTGCCAAAATCTGCAAGTTATCTTAGAATGTTGGCAAGAAACGGAGTAATGAAATTAAACAAGGAGAAATTTGTTGGCACAGAATCTTGTTGCTTTCACCACAATCAATTCCACAGGTTTGCTCCACCAAGAAAATTGAAGATAAGAACAGAAGAGTTTGAACGGGACAAGGTTTTGGCAAGAGGAACGTGCAATTTCCTTAGTTAAAAAACCTTCCAGATTGAAACTGATGGTGGAACGTGAGGACATTTAATGACCAAACAGCTGACTGGATGTGTCTTCTTCTTGCTGCTGGTTTCCAAAATAGCTTCTTCCTGTTGTCATTTGGCAATGGAAAGTCCTTCAACAAAATATGTGTATAACACTCGCAGGTTTGCAAAGAGATTGGGCTGGTGGCAGAGAGGGTAAATATTCAGAAATACAGAGCAAAAAGAGAAAGTATAAATATTAAGCAGGATTAGTTTTAGCTATCAGATGTTTTTTTGATCACTTCATCTCATCCAAAGCAATAGAGCCAACAAGACGTAAAGAGTGTGAGAGAATATAAGAAAAGAAAAAATATATTGTCAAGAAAAGAAAAAATATATTGTCAAGAAAAGAAAACAATAAAAGAAGAGGAATTAAGAGAAATCTTAAGAAATAACGATTGACACTGCATTTAAATTTTTGAAGCTCAAAGTTGAATGGAAAACGAGAAGCAGGAAGAGGGTTCCACAAGCGAGAAAAGAAACGGTTAGCATAGAACTTACGGTTCTAACCATTTCAGCAGTAAAAATGAGGCGACCTTGCCGCCAATCTAGTACTGCACTTAAATTCATAAAGTCTAGGTACCATAGCTCTAAGTTCACCAGAACAATTATCATGAAAGTATTTATAGATATGCACAGGGAAGCCATGTTATGACGGTGGGAATGTGACTGAAACCGAGGTATCAGCTCAGGATCAACAACATTGCATATTCTTATTGGGATTTTATCAAGAATCGCTAAATACGTAGCAGCAGTAACATGACCAAATGTAACATCAATATTCAACACATGGACTTATAAATATGTAAGATATATTCTTGTTTTCCCTTGAAAAATCAACTAGCCTGATGCCATTTCTTAAGCAAATGTTGATTGATAAAGTTTTAGCATTACAAAACGTATCGGTCCTTCTTATCAGCAATAATTTATGAACATGTCAGGTAAAAAAGGCGTTCGTAATAGTTTGACTCGATGCGCAGGTGGTGTAATGGATAACGACTCGAAATCAGAAATCGCGGAACCGAGTTTCAATTCCAGTCGGGTTTGTTACATTTATTCACGCGCAAATACCCTAAAAAAAGCATGAAACGTTCTCTTCACTCCAAGCTATGTGCTAAATAGCAGGACAGGTTGGTTCCTTTAACCTTGTTTAGTAACCAGTCTATCGCAGACAGAAACGTCAGCGTACTACGGGAAATCTTCTGCCTAGTCAATCATGAATCGAAAACAAAATCAGCCAATCGTGTATCATGAATTGCACTTCACTAACAGTATGAATCCAACCCCTCTCCCAGCTGTTGCATAGCCCCCTGATGGGGGTGGTTTTATCTCGTCTTCTCTCGGACGAAGATCGCTAATTGTTTTGCTTCAGCAATGAAAGACGTCAAACTCAGAAAACCTTAGCTATTTTTGTTACACATGTCGACATGTACATTATCGAAATATACAGGGGGTTCGTCCCCACCCTGACTGGGGAGCCGTTTCGAACACGAAAGAGAACACGTCTACATCGCTTGACGGGTAAGAAGCAACATCTGAAACATTTATCCTATCTATCTTTCCCACGATAACTCAGCCAATCAAAATCGACTTCCCTATTATGGCTCAGATCTGACCCGAATGTAAACCTCCAGAAGTCGGAGCCGAAATACACTTCCCTTAAAAAGTAAAATTCTAAACTATTATTTAAAACAAACTATGAGTTAAATAGTAGGAATTGTATTTTGCAAAGATCTATGTTATTCTCAAAAATTATTAACGCAATATAAACTCACGAAAATAAAAAAAAAGAATTATTCTTACAACCCAAAATATGTTCGGTGTGTTTATTAATTTAAGTTATAAGTTCAGTTGTTTATAGAGCTTCCGGAGTGATTTATGTGCAGCAAATTGTTTGAACATGAAGTTAGGCTAGTTGTTAATCTAATAAAGGGCACCAATTATTTATTTACAACTCCAACACTAATATTCCATAATTATAATTTATTACATTACGATCCAATTCATCAGACCTAAAATTACCTACTATATATATATATATATATATATATATATATATATATATATAAAATCCAAATGTAAAAGAGCGAAGAATAAAATTATAAAGTTCAAAACATTAATTTAAAACTAGGCTCAATACAACAGCAGAGCAATAAATATTTATTGTACACTGTTACGTTAGAACATGTACGTTCTATTTAACAGTCTATGATAAACACACACACACACACACACACACACACACACACACATACATATACATACATACATATATATATATATATATATATTTGGGCACCAACCTTTCTTTTAAACAATTAAATAAAGAAAAACAGAAGTTCTACATTAATTTTTTATTTTCATTTAGTTTTTCTAGCATTTTTACCAAAGGGAAAAATGTAAGAATGTTGGAAAAACTGAATTTTACATATATATATATATATATATATATATATATATATATATATATATATATATATATGCGTGTGTGTGTGTGTGTGTGTGTGTGTGTGTGCAAATATATTGATATAATAGGAAAGATCCGTTAGATTTATGATCCGAAGATCTTTAGTATTTTTGTTTTTATTTTTAGAAAACAGTGCACGATACACAAGTAGATCCTAGATTATAATTTTTCAATAAATCTGATTCTATCGCAACACAGAAATTACTATGTTTCGAAACAGCGGTATTTAAGTTTAATTCCAATATTTTCAGGAAAAAACATTTTTTTATTGACACCAAACTTAGCATAATCTTTAATAAAAACACTCTACAGCTGCACTGAAAATCTAGAAAGAATAATAAATAAAACTATAAAATACTGAAAAAACACGCATGCCATAATCAAATAAATAAAAACCTTAAATTAAAATTAGTCAAAAATAAAGAGAATATATGCGATTGTAGAAACCCTGAAAATTGCCATTTGGATAATAAATGCCGCATAGAATCTGTGGTATACCAATGCACAATCTCATCCATCGAGAATCCAAACATTGAAAAGATATATATAGGATCCACAAGAATAAATTTAAAATAAGGTGGAGACAACACAAAAGCTCCTTCAATAATATGAAAAATAGAAATCAGACATCCCTATCTAAATATTTTTGGCATTTAAAAGAAACAAATAAAACACCAAAAGTAAA